AATCTTTTTTTTTTTTTTTTTTTTCACTTTTAAGTAGTAGTAAAATTTTTTAAATGTGTCTTAATTGTAATTTATAAGCAAGCCCGAACCGAGCTTTATGGGCCGACAAGCAGTGTTTGTAGAAATTCCAAAGGATGGTAGGGGCACAAATAATCACGTGCAAGACTTTTTAGCCGGCCGAGAGTCAATTACCCACTACCACTAGACCAAAAAGAAATGAAGGAAGAATTGAAAAGTCCGAGGTATTTGGTCCACACACGATTTTGCTAAAATTTTATCAATTTCTTAATCGATTAAACATTAATTTTAACAAAATATTTTATAGGATCCACAATTTTTTTTAATTTTTTTAAATACACATTTCATCGACGTTTTATCAAAATCTACTAATTTTTTTATAAAAACTTCGTCAAACAACCCCTCAATATTTTTGTCATATGGAGAACTATAATCATTATAAAGACATCGAATACACAGTAAATTTAGTTATCTCTCCAACTGAATTTTGTGCATTGTTTGCGGTATAGAGTTGCACTAGTACATATTAATATACAACATAAAATAAAGAAATAAATAGAGAATAAAAAATATCGAGCTTAGTGACAAAAATGCAATTTCTACCCCTTTTTTTTCAACCATGAATGATTCATCTACTTGTCTCGACTTTTGAATAAATGATATTTAGTAATGTTCTAAAAAGTCCGTCTAAGCGGCTCCTAGGCATCATCTAAGCACGAGGGTCGAGTGAAACGTCACGCCTTGATAATGAGCGCCTAGTGGAGCTTTATTATTTTTTATTTTGTTAAAAATCTTTTATTTGACTTCAGTTTCAATTTTTTAAATTACTTTATCTGTATAAAGATAAAAAATTAAAACACGTTAAAAAATTCAAAGTTTGCATTTCAAAAGTTGGAAAATTGTATAATTGACTAGTTGTACAAATTATTAATTAAATATAGTATTTAATAATTATATATGTTTAGTAAGTATTATTTTAATTATTAAATGACTTTTAGAATGAATAAAAATAAATTTTTTTTTTTTTAAATTTAAACCTCACATTAGACTCGACAACTTAAAACGTGACCTCCACGCTTTATGTATTTTAAAACGCTGATATTTAATATTTTGAAGCCAAGAATTTTCCATGTGCTCCATGTTTTTGAATGCAAATAAAATTCCTATATGACAATAGGTGGAGCCATGCAATGCTGATGTTAAGGAAGAGACTGGACCACCTGATTGGACCAATTTACATACTACATTGGCGTCAAAAAGGCAAGTCACTATCACAAGTATTAAAATAAATTATTTATAACAAAAATGGTGACTTCGTAATTTTTTACCACTGGGAATCTTTCTTTTGAAGACGTCTTTCATTTTGTGTGTGTGTGTGTTGTTAAAACAAGATACATAATTATAAATTTTGACAATTCGAGGAGGAACAATAACAACATAACCTTAAGATTCTGTTTGGTTCAATTCAAAAAATTAATTAAAATTTAAATCAAAATCAACAATTAATTTTGACAACACACTTCAAGAGAACCACAACTTTTCAACCACTCATTCCATCAACTTTTATCAAATTCTACTAAAAGCGAACTTTTATCTAAATGAAAACAATTTCCAATCCTTCTCGTTATTAAAACTGACATAATATTCACACACTCCTTGAATACTGAAGCTAACGCCAATAAAAAAATTGACAGCATCTTCACACATAAATATGACAATTGATAAATTTTGAAGAAACAGAAATTTCTTGCGAGAATGGAATACCCTTCCATAATATTTATGTTTAATCGGCCAACATCGCTTATCAACATCTGCTTATCGAATAATTAGAACATAAACATCAATATAAGGTTGAAACACTATGCTTTCTGTGATCGAGCACTGTATTCCTGTGCAAACCGTACATCATATCTACTGCAGAACAAGGGGAAGAATATAGAGTTCGAAAAAACTAATATGAGCAAAGAGAGAATAGAGGTAGCTTATAGAATTAAGTTAGTTGTACACCCTTTTTTTACATCAAGTTTGACACTCCCCTACGTGTTGGAAATTGATTGAAAAGAGTGTAGTTAAAAACAAAGTATAAAAAAACTGCCAACACATATAATACCAAACTTGATGTACATGTAACAAGATTCATTAAACTAACCATTGTCAGAGACTCAGATTTACTTCTAGCTTATATTGCGGTTAAGCAACCCTTGAAATGATAAATAAAGATCTTTGTTATCCGTCCCAAAAATCTCTTCTGCTTTCTTCAAAGTCTCCTGGAAGTATGAGAATATAAAATCAGTTAGAAAAAATAAACAAAAAAATATATAACTTTTTGGATTTTCGCATACAGGAGTTTGTTAATAACCTCACGAGATTGTCTTTGTGCATTTAATTCCTTTACATTTGCCAGAAATGCACTAAACTGCTCTAATGATAGACGACTCCTGAATAAATAAAGCACCCATAAGGTGAAGGATCTCCAATAGAGATTATATAATTAGGCTATGGTAAGTACTCCAAAACAATAAATCTACCTAGCTTGACGGAAGAATTCCTTTCCATCAATTCGCGGAGTACGAGCTTGAAAGTATCAAAATAAAAAATAGACAAGTCAGAAGAAAGTCATGGATGGTACAAGAATGCAACAGTAAAGTAATTACAGTGGCTAGCAGTAACCAGTAACTTCTCTAAGCTAATATAAATAAATAAAAATCTTGAGTACTCATACCTGGTAGCATGCGTCCACGAGGCGGAGAGTTTGAGGCCGAGGACTGCTGACTTGATGGGTACCATGAAGAAAGAGAACCACGTCCATATTGAGTGGTTGTTGGAGAGGTGGCACCAGAGGTTTTGTGAGGTGATCCAGCAGTCGAGTATCTTCTTGGAGACACACTAGTGGAATATGCTTTTGGAGCAAGCGACGGGGTTATAAATCTATGTCCAACTTGCTTAGGGACTGCGAACCAAAGAAAAAATAAATTATTGCTTATATGATTATATCACATACTAGGAAACAGAATTGCAGATGCATATCATATTTCATAAACACCAAGCAGAAGCAAATACCATTATCAGCAATGTTTGTACTTTCTATAGAACTGCAAAAAGAATGGTTTCTTCTGAATCCATTTGCCTCGTCATCTACAATAAAATTATAATACTATCACAACATGACTGATAGATGGCAATATCGGCCCAAAATAAAAATAAAATTATGAATTATCAAACAAGTTTATTAAATATTACCCAAATTTCCCACAAAAATAACAACCTCAAACGTGCTGTTAAAATTTAAAATTACCCTTTGCGGGATGTGCCTTGGGAACTGATTGGTCATAAGTGCCAATATCAACAGTTTCTGCTTGCTGATGAGACAAAAATTAAGTAAAGTGCGCAATCAAGAAAGTGGTCACAAAAAGACAAAAATCGCCACGTGTGAGAAAAGTTTTAATGAAGATAACAGTACAAAAAATCTACACGAGTTTATCTGGGAATCATACTGGTGAAATTTCATCATTTAGTGATTGCATCAACTGTCTCTTGAACTTCTCCAACTGTCAAAAAAATAAAATTAGATTATGCACCAGATATGTACATAAAACTGAACATCCGAAGGACAGAAATCAGATATTGATGCAGCAAAGGATGCAATTGAAACCACAATAGCAATTTAAAGGGATAATTTGGGAGATCATAAGAGAACAGGATTGACAATTAAATTGCCAAAATATGCAATAATAGAGTATTGGTTGCAAGCAATCTAACATAAGTTCTACGATTCTGATTAACAAGCTTTATGCGAAATTCATCTATTCAAATCCACACATTGTAAAGCAAAAGTTAGAAAACAATCAGATAAAAGAATATATAGACATATTTTTGACAAAGGTTAAATTTTCAACTGCTAACATTAGTGTGTAAGCATACTAAAAAAGAAGAATATACATCTAAAGCTGGAATTGTTGCAGATTGAGGATAAAGTAAGAGAAGGATGACAAAGATGCGTTAAAAGACAAGATTTAAATGATATAAATATGGTTATACTAACAGCTCAAGTTTTTAAATAAAGTGGTTTAACGTGGTATCAAAGCATACGAAGGTCCTAGGTTCAAGTCTTGCTATCACCCATTTAATAAAATTGTGGAAAACAAATGACGTCATGGCATGTTGAAGACAAGATTTGATGATACACAAGTAGCCCTTTCTAATAGCTTAAGCTTTTATATCAAGTGATTCAATAAGATAGAACATATACTAAAGATGCCACAGACTGTTCATAAGAGTTACATGATCTTGATAAAACATGTCAAGTGATGAAGGGTAGACAAAACTAACACGACATGCTTCTGGTAGATCTAATAACGAAGCCGAATGAAGTGGATATGAAGGATGCACATAGTGGACCAAATTTATTGTGCACATAAAATCAGTTTGTCATCGTTGGTAAATTTCAATATCTCAATATACTGGCATCATATAGCTTACATAAGAAAACAGCAGAAAAACCCATAGTTTTAAGGCATCAACAACTCTATGCAGGTAAGTATACTTTTGCAAGAAGATTGAACACAATTTAAGGAATTCCGTGCAAAAAGGCACAAAATAAAATTTCTGTAATGAATAATTGTTAGCAAGGAAAAAAATATATTTAAGAACGATTTCGTACATGCCTCTTCCTAAACACTATTCCTTCAACAATAACGAATAACCTCCTACTTTACTTCAAAAAGAACAACGTCCAATCTTCTTTTCCCATATAGATATTGAAAAGAACCAAAAACTTAATTGCAGAGCATCAATGATTGAGACAGAGATTAAAACTTCAAATAAAATTAATTTATTTAGATAATATTAAACTAAGTTTCTCCAAAAGTAAAAATTCAAAATCAACCGAAAAAATCCAAATAGGCCAAATTACCTTAGCCAAATCACGATCCAGCTTCTTTGCCGTCAAAGCCAAAGAATCTCTCTCCTTTGCTATCTTCATCTACAACTCATAAATAAAAGAACCCGATAATAAAATATAAACCCCAAAAATTATTAAAATTGGAATTCAATTTTTCAAAAAATGTATATACGTACTTACATTATCTTCACACGCGATTCTCAGTCGGAATTCAGCTTCTTGAGCGGCCTGTTCGAGCTGCGATACCTTATCTTCTAGCTCCACAATAACCCGGTCCTTGTCCCGGAGCTTTTGTCGGAGCATCCCCGTTTCTGATTCCAATTTCGTGACCCGCGACGCGATTGCCATGGACGTGATCTTACGCGCCAGATCCAACTGGTCGTACGGGTCCGTGGGCATCATCGATAATATCTCGTCGGGTAAATTGAAGTCTGGCCCCGCCCGACTGCTGTCTCCGCTGCTCTGTGACATTGCACAGAAACAAAACCCTAGCTTTCACAAATTGAGTTTCGAAAAGAAAAAACGATGAATTCAAAGATTCGACGAATTCGAAGGGTTTGGGAATTGAGGGGTGGCAATGGAGTATACGACGATGGGATATAATTAATACATGTGATGAAATGGAAATGGAATTATTGGAATAATAATCGAAGAAATGTCAAGAGGTTTTTGGTGGAAGATACGTATGATGCGTTGTCTTGTCTTGCTTTCAAAATTGGGGGTTTCCCTCCCGACTGGTGATAATGAAATAAAGTTTATAAGCAAATAATAATTTAATTTTGAAATAAATATTTTTTTACTAGTTAAATGAATTAATAAAAATTACATTTTTTGACAGTAAAAAGTAGAAAATTATTTTTTCCTCAAATAAAATAAATATTTATCTTTACTTATTTTGTTTGGCTAAGCTTATAAATAAAAATAACATTTTTACACCCTTCATTTCAATTATAAAATGGGAATCAATAAACATCTCGTTTCAATCAATCTTCTCCCAAGTTCCCCTCAATTGATCAACCTCCACTTAAGAGTTGTGCACACAAAGATAAAACTGATATTTAAAAATGTATTGGCAATAACATTTTGTCCTGACTCATTCACAAGTTATATTAACTATGACACAATTAACCAAATGAATCCAATTCTATTTTATGCAATCGCCAAAAGGAAAATTTATTGCATATCCCCATTGTAGAATTAATGTAAACATTTTTATAGTACAATGTTCTTTTAACAGTATAATATAATTAAAAAAGTATAAGGAGAAACTAAACTACAACCACCACACAATTTCATCTCTCTCTCTCTCAATAAAGATAGAATATAATGAATCATCACCTGCCCTCCCCAATAATCTCATGAAGAATGGGTTTGGAATCAGGGATAGGTGAATAAGATGGATACGTTGCCCTGCTATTTGTGTTTGACGAATTGTCTTGACTAATATCAGTTCTTGAAGTTGAACTATCTCTGTTTGACATAAAGGTGGTTGCATCACTGAATTTCCAGTCCGCCAGGTATCCCGGCTTCGAAGTGACAGGGGGCACCTCAACGTCTCCAGAAAGCATCGACACCACACGGGACATTGAAGGCCGCAAATTGGGGGATGTTTGACTGCACAGAAGAGCCACTCCTATAATTATTTTCACTTCATCTTCATTCACTTCGGATAATGTCCTGTCAACAAGTTCCATTTCTTGGTTTGTCTCATGAAGATTCCAAGCCTGCAAGCATATTGTATTTATATTAGTACCTACTGAGGCAAACGATGTTGGAAAACACAGAAACGCATTTGAACATTGATTTTAGAGGCGTGCTCGCTAACAGAGAGAAACTAGAATTCATTTTCTTAACCGGTCCAATCTCACTTGTGGTCCCTGCTTGTTCCATTAGCCAGGAGGAAAGGTGATTAAAAAGAAAGAAGACGAGTTCTTTACTTTATTGATTAGGACCCATCAAAGATGAGAAACTCTATTCCTGAGACAAATTATATCTGCAAAAATTTTGGAAGGGGAAAGGGGACCTTCCTGAATATAACATTGGGTTGTGAAGAACTAATTCCTTTTTGTCGAGTCTGGTGCAAAAGGGAAAGAGATAAAACTTTTTCAATTCTTGAGTGCTTGATGTTTCAGTCATATTTCTTCTTTCTGTCCTTTGGTATCTCTTCCTCATTTCCCTTTCGGGTGGTGAACTGGAGAAGAAAACAAGAGGATAAGCCTCAGAAGGCTTAATCTCAATGCTGAGGCCCCATCCTATTCAGGCATATACAATCTTTTGATAATCTCCCCGTGAAGAAAATTTTAGATTCTCTCAGATTCCACTGGGAGGCAATAACACCGCTAAATGTCCGTGGAAAAAAAAAAGGAGCACAAACAAGAAAGAGATAAAAGAGAGAGAGAAATTACCTAAATGAACAAGCGTAAAGCAAGCACATTCATCAAAAAAGAATTTTGATATTATGTAATTTCTACCTCTCAATGTTGGTGAGCCTATCACCTAGGCTTATTTTTTATGACTATAATCTTTTAATTGGTTTAATTACTAGTAAATGTGCATTTCTCTCGGATTCCAAACAAAAGGAAACTTCCTTACCTGACATCTACCACGAACTAAATGAGCAGAAAAGTTAGAACAATGAATCAAACTGTAATAAAAGTGGCTCCTAATATTGTGTCATTGCTACCAGAATTGAACTGCAAAAAATAGTAGTATTATGGAAATCTTGTTTGTAACTTCAAGTGTGCATTGTACAGTATTTTGTGACCACAAGCATGAATTTAAAAAAAAAAATAGTATTGCTGATGTACAATTTGTGAAATGACCTACAATTTCCTTTTGCTAAGTAAGCAAGTCACAGCCAAAAACTGAAGAAAATATGGTAAGATTTTTAAGAAACATCTTATGGTAACTGGGTCATATATAAACTTTTAAATTCAAAAGGATCAATATGCACAAAGGTTCAAAATGCGTACTAGACCATACCCATTCAAGAAGATACACCTCATCGTCTTCCAAACTTGAGTCAGAATTTAGCCTTCCACTGACGATTTCTAGGGCTACAACTCCAAAGCTAAATACGTCTGCCTTTTCAGTAAGGCGTCCGCGCATGGCATACTCCGGCGCAAGATACCCACTAAATGAGTGAAAAATGAAAAACTCAGCAATTAACCCACCCCCATTCTAGTCTACATTCCGACTGGAAATGCAGGTCACTACACAAAAGATTAAGACAGAATGAAGGAAAATCAAGGATTAAGAATTTTGGTGAACCTTACATTGTTCCTGCAACACGGGTACTTATATGGGTCTTTTTGTCATCGTACAATTTTGCCAAACCAAAATCTGAAATTTTGGGGTTCAGATCAGAGTCAAGCAGAATGTTGCTAGCTTTAACATCTCTGTGTACAATTCGAAGTCGAGATTCCTCGTGCAGATAAGCAAGTCCTCTTGCTACTCCCAAGCATATGTCAAAGCGTGTTTGCCAGTTAAGAGTTAAACTTCTATTCCCTGCTCCTGAGAAGAAAAGTGATTCAGTCTCCTGAATGTTGAAATTAAAATGAAGCTGCAGGCAAGCTATCTCATTACTACCAAATAATACTTGATCAAGGCTCTTGTTTTCGAGATACTCATAAACAAGCAACCGTTTATCTCCCTCGATGCAGCATCCATACAATTTCACAAGGTTACGGTGCTGCACAGCTGAAATAGTGGCAATCTCTGCAACAAACTGACTCTTTCCTTGACGGGATGCAATAGACAACTGTTTAACAGCAACAACTCTTCCATCCTCAAGTGTTCCCTGTTGGTCACAACACAAAAAGTTCAGATATATTAAACTTAGAATTTACAAAAAGAAAACTAAATAGGAATTGATAGGATCTGAAACAGTTGTGCACACGTTTCCTTCTGATACAATATCAGGTTGGGGATATACAAATATACAAAAGGTAAAGGAGAAAATAACAAAGGAATTGTGGGCTAAACATCGAGTTATAGCAATAATGTGAACTACTGAAACTTACAAGGATTTGTTACCACCTTTATTTTGTCTTAATTCTTCTCATACTTCATGTGTTGGTTTATAGATAAAGCCTGATTCTTAATTGTTCCACCATTCTATAATTTTTGATCTAGAAAATTTTCAGAAAAGAATTTACCCTGTACACAGGTCCAAATCCTCCCTCTCCAAGCTTATTAGCTGGATTGAAGTCATCTGTTGCAGATCTTAGCTCCGCATAACTGAACGTGTATGGTCTGGCATCCATCCCCAAGAAATCTGCAAATTCACAGAGAAACAACTGTTCACTTTCAAAGGGCAGTGATTATTCATCCAACCCCTAGCTCATTCATTCCTTACCTCATAATATTGTTCCATAAGAGGATAGGCATTATAAGTTTGGTATTAATTAAATATGCAGTGACCTACCTCTCATTGTGGAACATTTAGGATGCAATTTATCACAAAAAGTTGGACAAAAAGCAACAACAACTCCTGAACTGGAAAGGATACTTAGGCCACTATACTTTTCCTTTCTTACCTTCATCCTCATAGCTCTTCTTCCTGTTTCTTCTCTGAGCCAAATAATATGCTGCAAATACAGATAGAAGACTTACAGCTCCGACTGCAACTACAATCCCCACAATCAGACCAGTCTTATTCTTCTTCCTACTTGGAGGACTGTTTCTAACAGTGGGAAAGAAATCTGTGGAAAAGCTTAGTGATCAATATTGGCATCTAGATAATAGGAATCAGAGTTGAGAATTTTTGCGAGCTGTCAATATCTTGAATTTATATTTACCTGGGGTGGCACTTATTGCCGAAATTGAAGGCCCATATGTACCTTGAGTAGGAACACAACAAGTCCCTTTTCCAGCCCAGAAGAAATGGATTTCAAGGTAGTTTTCAGACACTCGAACTTTTGATTCCTTCACAACAGCTTTCAAAGGGGTCCCACCAGCCTCTTTTACTATGTCGAAGTCTTTGAACTCCAGCTTCCCCTGGATCCCACAGAGTGACAATTTTGTTCAATAACATATGAAGAAGAACCAAGATACATTGATTTTCGGAGTATACTTCAAAAGGAAAATATACAAGATACTTGAAATTCTAAATTTAACTATCCATATGGTGGATTCCAAGAGAAATATGAAATGTCATGGCTAGCATTGCCATTGAAATTTGAACTAGAGAAAATCTTGGGATAGAACATGTGAACATTGATTCTGATGCATGAATGTTCTTTGAACAAAAATAAAAGGTAACTATCACAAGTAGTGCCTTCAAAAACACATCCTATATCATCCATATCAAATGTCAAACGGATCAAGTACTCCATGATGAAAGGTGAACTGGTGTTTTAGACAAAGATAAGGCTTGAAGGTGCACCAAATGCATAACTATTCCATCAGATACACCCACCTTGATCATATCAATTGACGATCGTAAACCAATATGTAGTTGAAGCACAATGAAAAATATGAATGCAATAGTTTTAATAAGAACTCATTTTTTTAACACAGACCTGGATATATATATCAAAAACCCGCCTTCCAAGACTCATCCACCTCATAGGACCTAGAATTCCGATTTCTGCGAACTGAAGTTTCACAGTGTAATTACCATTCTCAAGACCCAATCCATAGTATCTCAAAGATCCAGCAGAAATTCGTGCAGTTTGAAACAACTCTGAGTCTAAAGTAGCAGTGAATTGGGATGAAGAGGAGATTTTATATTGTGGGTTGTTGCTATTAGAAGGCAGACCAACATTACTAACTGCCCATCTGTTTGTACTGGTCATGTAATGTGTTGCAGGACCAAGAGTCTCATTATCCATCTCATACACAATTTGATCTGAAGACCGAATTTGTCGACCGCCACATTTAATTGCAAAGCTGGAATCTGCAAACCATGATCCAGATGAACTTGTCAATTATCAATGCAACTTCACAAAAGTGCTTGTTCTAAGAATTTGTGTGGAAACAATTTTGTGAATGATATTTTGGCCTGTTTTGCATCATTTTGTAGAAGTATTTTCTTTTTAAAAAAAATACTAGCAAGTACTTTTTGTAAGAAAATCTGATGGAACTTTTGAAATTAGGATGAGCAACTATGATTTAGCTGGAACTGGTTGAAATTCTTTACTGTAAAATAAGATCAAAACATTTCATTTTTATAAAATACGTATATTGACCTTTGTTTCTGAGTGAGAGATAATTGGTGTCTTTTTGATAAAAAAAAAAATTAAGACATGTACAGGTAACTTACCCAATTTATTTTTAATGTTTTTTAATATTTATTATGAAATAAAATGCTCTAGGACTATTCCCAATCAATTTATATCTCAAGAACTTTATAGACCAATTTTAATATTTATAGCACATGTTAGCAAAATATCAATCTGAAACACGAACAGAAATACATCATCTTAAAACTGCCAACTATATCTTTTAATGTACCTACAACTCTATGTGCATATAGATATAAAGTCCAATCCAAGGCGTAACAAAACTACTAGTCAAAGCATCATTATGCCTATAATCAATGACAACTTTAACCACATTTATGCCATGTTAAGGCCCGCAAACTCGTAATACAGAATTAAAATAGTTTTATTATCATTATTTCACAAAACTTTGTCACAGTTTTTCAAAATAAATAACCCACACCATATGTTAATTTTTTTTTTTTTTTTGATAAATTAAATTATTAGCACGTTCAACAATGGCATACATACAGAATATATATAAACAACAAACAATATCATGTGACTTTACTTATAATTGTATATTAGGGGGACTAGTTATGCTGTTGGTGATGATGGAAGGTGTGAGGTGAGCTGGTGGGTAATGGGTGGAAAGAAAGAATGGTGAAGTGTCAAAATATATGGTATATAGAATAACTTCATTAATTAGTCATAGTCAGGAACAGATAATGACAAAGTCTGTTCTTCTTAAGCAAACAACTGGATAAACCTAGTTCTGCTTATTAGTAACCATGCAGAGCAGGCCTTTAATAGTTTTTGTCAGTGCACATACCTTTACATTGTATACAGGGCTCTGCCCCCCACAACTATGTTAAACTCTTTATTTAGATTCACAAAAGGAAAAGTAAGTTCCTTATTAGTTTTCAGACTTCCGAAACCTGTTACCTATTTACATGTGTTTGGATAAAATACATCACTTACAGATAGGTGATCCTCGATTGCAGGGGAAATTCTGCTGCAGGCAATTCAATCCTGAAGGCAGAGCACTAAAAAGTGCAAGAAGAATGTATGAAATTAGGGAAAGTGTTGTATTTGAGGTACAGAAGCATCAAGCATTAATTTTTTGAATATCAATATTTCAAATCATTCATGATGACTAAATTGCGCTTCTCAAACAGAAAGAAGGAAGTCAGTTGGAAGTGAAACATGCATGCAAAGATTGTCTTATATACCTAATGCAAGCACATAATAAAGATTGTTGAGAAGATTGTTTTTATGTCAAGAGCATTATCACCAAGTCCTAGTAACTAGGAGAAAGATAATCTCAGGAGAACAAGAGGTTTCTCGGCCACAGAACCTGAGGCAATTACGTGGGAAAGTCTATTCTCCCATTATTCTTGATATAAAAGGAGCACAAGCAAAACTATATTAAAAAGTACTGCTAACTGTTTTGACATATGATATTGACAATAAGAAAATGAACCATTATCATTTACAGTGTTGACGTACATATGGAAGTCGCTTGCAAGTTGCCAGTAATATCATATTGTGTACTCTCTCTTGGAAAATGGATTATGGTAAGATAACCAATTTCTACTGGGATGAAAACTAGCAGGCATAGCATTAGCTATTAGCCAATCCTACCACGGTTTAGTTATGACAGAAGTAACTATGGATGACTAATATACACATTACAACCCAGACATGTCAACATCAAGAAGCAAACCAACTGTAAAGCTTAGCAAGTGAATCTATATAAATTTGTGCTTCAAATATTTACCTGCCATTAGAATTGTCTATGGTAAAGTTGTTGGCAACCAAATTGCTGCATAATACATCAAAAAAGATTTCTATGTAAATTTTAGAAATGGCAATTTAAATCATGAAGAGATCTTAAACGAAATATCCAGCAGAACAATGCCACAAAGTATACAGAATATGCAGCATCATAATCTTCATTCGCACATACAGTTGTAAATTTGGTCCGCTGACCCAAGACGGAAAGCTCCCAGATAATCCATTGTATGATAAATCTCTGGAAGGAATACATCAATAATGTTAGCCAGACATTCCATCTTACTATGAGAGACAAGTGCATGGAAATAGATAAATAGTTTATTAGACGCCAGATGAACTTGAATATTTTATGCTATGCATCAACTTAACCCTCAAGTCTTAAGAGAAGGCATATACCTCAACAAATTATAAAGTCGTGTTGCATATTCAATTAACTCGTGTAATAAAGAGGCATAATTTTAATTTGCATTTAGAGCAGATTTATGGAAATATAGTCTTTTTTAAATCTCTCTTAAAACGTGTAGGAATAATGAGGGAAACCCCAAATACTGCTTGTTGGATCCTGATTGATGCAGATGGAGGAAGGTGGAGAGCATATTGAACAGACCGTGAGAGAGAGAGAGAGAGTTGTTACTTTCATTAAGTTCCATTTTATGTAACAAGTTGAATGTCCTTTTCCAACTTAATAGTTTTAATTAAGCAATCTAGAGTGTAAATTCAAGAGCATGCATGCACTAAATTTATAATTATATAAATCAAATAAGCCTACAAATAATGACAAGATCCAAAAGCATCGCATTGCATTTGTATCAGCACCTTGGAGTTCTAATCATGTATTTGAAACAAAAGAAATGCAACTTATAGAAGTTTTTTTTATCAGAACCACTAAGATATGAACATCTGAAAAGCACAACAGTGTGAATACTAACATGTTCTGGAGAGATGGACGCTTTTGCGCTGGCAGGGGACCAGTAAACTTGTTATTACCAAGAAATCTGAAGATGAAAAATAAATAACTGATTTAGGACCCACTCCCTTTCTCTGGGCGAGAGTGTTGTTGCAGTGAGGTATCAACCATAATAAGTATTGGATAATTTATTACAAGTTAGAGAGTGAACTCAGATTGAAAAGAGAATCTGGAATGCGCCCAGTCAAACTGTTGAAGCTCAAATCCCTGAAAAATAAAATTATAAAAGATTGTAGAGCGAGTAAAGCAATGTAGTAGCTTTAGAGCTCCTTTACAGGTTAGTGACTTCAACCAGCTAAAAAATATTATCAAGTTCATTTCCAGGTAAACCCCCTTGTATGTGGTTAATGTTCTCAATTTGAGACTGAGAATGCATTAGGCTGGACTGCATGAGTCACATCTCCCAAGTTACCATCAACCTTAATGGAGGCTCAGTATATTATTGAAAGTCATACCACAGCAAGAAGGCTTACAGCAGTGTTAAACTCTGGTATTCACCAAAATTGGAAGGTAGAGAACCAGAAATGTTATTATTCCGCAAAACTCTGCCAATCAAGCAATAAGTTCATTATTGTACAAAAGAAAGATTACATCATTTTACTACAGAATTTTAGGCTGTGTTTATTCCTTACAAGGTGGCTAAAGACTTCATACTTCTAGTGAAGTCCAGTGTAGAGCTTCCATTAGATAGATCACTTATTCTCCTGTTTGTCATGTTTGAATGATGATATTAGCTTAGGAAAGCATAGAGAAGAAAGATTTGTAAAATAAATGAAAAGAAACAGGCCAACGCTCACAATTCATTCAAAGATGTTAAATTGGAGAACGATGGTGGTATTGGTCCCTGAAAGGAGTTTCCTTGAAACCTCCTGCAAACATATTTATAGCTGATCACAAACTACACATAAATCTTGACTCGAGTGGAATTACTTGAATGAAAATGGCATGTAACAATTTCAGCATGATAAATCAACATATAAAATGAACTTGATTTCAGTCTCACAGGGAAATAAGATTTGACCAACTCCCAATAAAGTCAGGAATCTGACCAGTAAGTTCATTGTCCGAGGCCAACCTGAAAACCCCCCAAAAATTTATTGCAGTGAACTTGATCGGAGAAGTCAAAACAATAAACTTATTACAAAAGAAAGGAGCAGAGAGGATATGTTCTTACACTGTCTGTAAACTCGTTAGATTAGAAAATGTTCTAGGTATTGGACCGCTAACTCCAGAGCTAGGAAAGTAACTGCCAAGAAAATAACATGATATGAATGAAAAATAGAGCAGGAATTTTTTTCTTTCTACTAGCACAAAAATAATTTTGTGGCTTCTCATAAATCAATAAATTAAGATTCGGGAAATTTTAAGATGGTTAAAAGCAAACATTACCATTGAGTAGATTGAAAATTTAGAATGAATTACAAATGAGCTCACCAACATGGATTAGAAGATAAATAGAATACAAAAGGAAAATGAGGTCACAGCTGCCAAATAGGGTGCCAAGGAACAAAGAAAAACACAAATAACCTGAAAGGAAAAGGTTCTTCACATTGTTCCATGTCAAGTTAAGTTCAGAGATGATGCTTGTCTAAACAGATGTTAAAGCTGTAGAGAAACATAGATTCCTAAATGATAATGAGGGCAAGATACTAGAAATTTCATGCTCGTGATTATTTCCCAATTTTTTCGTCAGATTACATAAGCAGCCATAATAAGACAAGCAGCATCTACCGCATCTCCTATAGTTATATAGAAAGGACACAACAAGAGTGAAGTAGCATCAAAACTTACAGTTGTTCTAGTTTGGTTAAACTTCCAAGCTCAGACGGTAGAGGACCAGAGAAATTGTTCGTGCCAAAAGCCCTACACGAGCAAGTAGAAATTACAGATGCATAAGTGCTTAATTTTAGACTAATGAGATGTAATTGTGGCCTAAACCTTATGAATAAAACTTAAAAGTTCTTACAGAGATATTAAGTCTGTCAACTTCCCAAGTTCCTTCGGAACCTCCCCCGATAATGCATTAATTCCAAAACTCCTAAAGACAATAATTAAAAATTTGCAATATTTTTAACTCACACTCAAACTCTATTAATTGACATGAGTTCTAAGTCCTAAATCACAAACAACGTAGCTTACAAATACTGCATGCGAGTGAGGTTTCCAACAGATGCAGGCAGTGGACCTGTCAAATAATTTTGGCGTAAATCTCTGCAAAGTAAGGAAAATCCCAGTATCATCAGCATCTAAGTAATAAAAATGTGAACCACCAAATGTAAAATTAGCAAAACAACTAACACTAACAGAAAAAATTAACCATACAGATCATCAAGGAAAGTCAAATTCCAGAGCTCATTCGGGATTGAACCCCCAACATCCAATGCATAAACTCTCCTGTACAAGTATAATGTTAGGTTAGGAGCCAAAAATCATTGCAACAATTACCACCTGAAGTGCATAACAAACAAATAAGATACTTCACATTATTGTTAAACACGACCAAGGATTGAAAACACTCTTGGTCTCTCAAATTACAGTGTTTTTTTTTTCAAAGACTAAATTCGAATCGGTAAAATAGGGGAAATTGTTAACTCACAGCGCAGTAATGCGGCAAGTGGTGCCATTGTTGTAAGAGCAATCACATTTGATACCCGGATTGAAATTCACAATTGCTGTTTCATCGATTGCAACACCGCTGCATAATTCGCCGCTAATGTTCCATTGTTGATTTGTTCCAGAAATTCCCCATCGCTGAAACATAGTATTTACAGCTTTTGCTGCAAAATCAAAGATCGTGATATGATTAGTATGGCGTTGTTCATCATTCATACATGAAAAAGCTCATAAAAAAATTCATACTTGCAACACAAATTTAAGCATTTCATTATTGAAGTTTCATCCGCCAGTCATCAAGCCCGAGTGAGCATTTTTGTAAGTTTCAGTTACAATTTGCTTATTTATAAAAAAATTCGTCGTCAACCTATTATCAATATTAAGCCGTTTGTTAACGATGATATAGTATTAATATTAAGCCGTTTGTCTTATTATTCCTACTTAAATTATAATTCATTTTTCACTCCTTTAATAAAATAATATTACACGTAAATTCAAAAAAAATTCTTCATTTTTAATTACACATTCTTCAAAGAATTACTACTCTCGTTATAATGTAGAATAGAACAATGAGACCAAAACGGGCGCTAAGTATTAAAAAGAATAAAACGATAAAAATTTGGAAAAGAGCAAAAGAAAAGCTTCTAAATGGGGGAAAACTAATAAGGGATATTTTAGATAAGAATAATTTTATCTATCATTTAGGGATGACAATTCGAACTGTTAAAATCGAAAATCGCGGTTAACCAAACTAAATGGGGCTGAAAAAATTGAACCGATGGTGCAATGGAGTAGTTATGATTAATAACTCGGGGCGGGGCGGGGCGGGGACCAATTACCTATTAAAAAAAATTAATTGGGTAATTGAGTTTTCAATTATTCTTTCCCAAAATTAATTGGATAATTTTGACAATTGAGCTTTCCCAAAATTTTGGCCCAATTAACATTACTTGTAAACATTTAACTCAGTAACTTAACTCTAACCATGCACGTTAAAATTGAAATTGGAAACCAAACTTACAAAATACTCGTTCACTCTACCAACGAACCAAATAGGCTTCACCCGAAGACTTTAGAAGCTTTAGCCCCTGTTTAACTCCCAGTTTTTTTTCATTCTATTTCTCATTCTTCATTTCAACCACACGTTCTATTAATAAAATAATATTATACATAAACCCCAAAATTCTCCTTACTTTTTAACAACACAATCTTTCATCAATCAATATCCCAAAAATTATTTTTCAAACAAAATTGGTGTCAAACAGGGGCTTAATGTGTGCTCGGTATTGGCTTTGGACAGATATTCATGGTAGGATTTATTGTTTTCTATTTGTTATTCATGCACTTTTTTTTATTGCTAATTTTTTTCTCTATTGTGTGTAGAAAATTCTGCTCTATCAACATATTCCGGAGCTTGTGCAAGGTTTAGTGAGGAGGACATTGACAAAGAGGTACATTCTTTTTTTAATTCTTTAGTTAAAACAATTCTTGATTAGGTAGTATAGTTGTATTATTACTCTAATTATATTTCTCATTTGCTATATAGGAATCAACTTTGAGTCTTGACTCTTGACCTATGCTAGTAAGAGTTGTGGGGAAGAATGAAGATTGACCTATATTAGTAAGAGTCTTGACCTATGTTGATAATATTGNTTTTTTTTTTATTGACTTTTCTTCATATTTCTTTTTTTTTTCAATTTTAAGGTTGGAGTTTGAACTTATAAAAAATAATTTATTTTCATGGTTATTAACCGAATCGAGATGTGAATCAAACTGACTTACGTGATTATGGTGCGGTTATGGTATTACCAAACACTTACTTTAATTAATTTTTTTGAAATATATCCCATTTTTATTCTTCTTAATGATAATCACCCATTTTAATTATTTTTTTAATAAAAATTACTCTGTTTTAATTAAACTCCGAGTTTAAGCTTCAAATTCTTCAATCAATATTTCAAACACCATCCAAACACCACAAGATCCTAAATATTCCCTTCTGTCAATTTTCTAATACCAACCCACCACCACACCCGCTACCCACCTACACCGTTCTTGCAACCACCATGATCAATGAAGTAATCATCGCAACCAGCATCTCCACCATCACCGAGATTTTTCTCTAAAAATTTTTAGTACGATACAGATTTAAAGTTCTAATTTTAGTACCGATTTAAATTTAATATTCTAGATCCAAAACTTTTTTTTTTCCCGAACAATCGACATAGTATAAAATTTATTATTTAGGTTTAAAATTTAGTCCTTGTTTGGCCCCAATTTTTTAGAATTTATTTTTCTCTAAATTCATTTTCAACCATACATTTTATAGGATCTATAACTTTTATTAACTTTTCAACCATATATTTCATCAAGCTTCATTAAAATTTACTAAAATCTTATTTTTAGTCAAACCAAACGGTGACTTAATATCTAAGTCAACTTGAGGATTTTGTTTTAGCTTATGTTTGAGCCTCATTATAAATCGTGGAAAAGGACCATGTACGCACATAATCATAAGTTGAGAACGTCCATGCCAAGAAAAAAAAAAAAAAACTTAGAACCGAAATCACCACAACAAAATAAATGAGGAACTATTTGCATCAATTTCCCAATATAATAAACATACAACCAGTAAAATGGGAAAAAAAAAATTTTGTCGATGATGACAGAGGAAATTGTTAATTAACATTTATTTAAATCAGTTACGTCTGCATCACTTGTTATTTTAATTTTGCCTAAGTTTCTGATACCGTGGACCTACACAGATATTATTATAAAATTATTAAAATAATAAGAAATGTCAAACTCATTGGAGTATACGACCATGAATTTGGAATTTTCCAAGGATTTTGATGTAATGAATGTTAAGAGTGTGTTTGTGGCACATTCTTTTGAAAAAATGTATTATTGAATAGTAGATTGATAGAGAATGTATGGTTAAAAATGAAGGAAAAGTTATTGATGTGATGGAAAATATTATTTTATTGAAGAATGTGTGGTTGAAAATGAGTAGAAGAATGAGAATGAAAAAAATAATGTGTACCAAACAGGGCCTAAGCGTCGTTTTGCTTCAATTTTTACGTTATAAGGAGATGAATAATAATTTTTTGAAAAATGCGTGGTTAAAGAAAAAAAAATTGGGTTAGATTGTAATATTATTTTATTGAAGAATGCGTGATTGATAAAAAAAAAAATAGAGAAAAAACAAGAATTATAATTTAGTGTGGCCAAAAGGGGGTAAAAGGGAAACTTTGGATTTTCTATTATACAAAAGAAAGCGTGTTTTTCATTATAACAATGAACTTCATATACAAAGTTTTGATGGAGTTACAATCTGAATAGAATATACTCNAAAAAAAAAAAAAAACTTAGAACCGAAATCACCACAAAAAAATAAATGAGGAACTATTTGCATCAATTTCCCAATATAATAAACATACAACCAGTAAAATGAAAAAAAAAATAAAAAAATTTGTCGATGATGAGAGAGGAAATTGTTAATTAACATTTATTTAAATCAGTTAAGTCTGCATCACTTGTTATTTTAATTTTGCCTAAGTTTCTGATACCGTGGACCTACACAGATATTATTATAAAACTATTAAAATAATAAGAAATGTCAACTCATTGGAGTATACGACCATGAATTTGGAATTTTCCAAGGATTTTGATGTAATGAATGTTAAAATTCAGATCCAGAATATAAAATTTTGAGAACGCTGGGGATCCGAATTGATAGTGATGATATCGAAAATAGAAATCTTCTTACGAATGTAATTGTTGGTGTTCGATCTAAAAGTTCTCACTGTCATGAGTTTCAATTCAGAGCAATCAAAAGAACTTATTTGTTAGGAAAGTTGAAACAAGGCTACGCAGGATGTCTACCTATGGATACATCCTAGGGAGAAGCCGTAAAAAAAAATACCACCATGATCAAACTAAAAAGATGTCCCCTTATAGTATCAGCACAACCCCTCGTAACTAATCAAAGGCGAAGGGGTGTCCTCCACGATGCAAGTACTGTCAATTGCCACCAATCAATGAAGAGTAGTGATGGCCTGGGTTGCACACTATAACCTATGCATCATGATGATCCGTTGCCACCAAACTCTCCAACCGATGAAATCTCTCCAAATAGGGCAGTAGAACGCATCACTCAATCGGACACTGTAGCTTGACACGAATATGTAGCAAGCTCTAATTTGGTTGCTATATTATTCTTAGTCAACAAATAAAACAGGTATTGTTTCCCATTAAATTACTGGTTAAAATCAATTGCTTCTTTACAGCTCGTTAATAGTAGTAAAAAACTCGCTTATGGTCAAACAAGTTCGAGCGGATTGCTATAATCCCATGCAAACATGTTTTGTTATGAGATTTTGTGTCAAAACTCGTTCATTTTTAGAATAATTTTCTGGATTAAAATGTGTACAAGTATACAATTATAAAACATCAAGGTCAAATGAAGAAATTAAGAGCAACATAAACAAAAATCATGTAAAAAGATCGAGTTCTCAAACATTTAAACAAAATATTCGGAAAAAAAAGAGCCGAAATTTGCACTAAAATAGTGAAAGAAAGAGATGGAGAGATGCACCGTCGGAAGGATCAGTGGTGGCATTTCTGGTATCTTGAGCTTGAGCAATCTGCAGCAGGAGGAAACTAATTAAAACGAAGTACAAGGCGAGGAGAGGCGGCGCGTGAGCACCCAGCTGGTGGTGTAGCTTATTCATTGGCGTCTTCCTTGATGACTTCTAGATCACACAACAAAATATCAGAATTTATGGAGAGAGAATTTGATGTCGCTGGAAAAAGAAGTTTCAATATTAGAGATTCTAGAGAAGGGTTAAATTTATCAATGGCCACCTAACACTATACTTAGTGTCATCATGACCACTAAATTTGATTTTATTTTATTATTACCACCCAAAATTATATGTAGGGTCCGTTTGATTGATATAAATTTCATAGAAAATGTCATATTCTCGAAGAATTCAATTTCTACTTTGGTTATTTAATACGAAAATGAAAATTGAGTTTGAATTCCAAGGTACTACCACTTTAAACTTTATTTTTTTGCTAATTTCATGAAAAATGCATTTCTATGGAAAATTTGGATTTTTATGTTCCAACTTACGTAAAATTGGAAAGCATTTCCACCTTTACCAATCAAACAGATCATTAGTGTCACAATAACTAAATAACTTTTGGTGTCAATAGTGAAACGTTATATGAAATTGGATGGTCATGGTGAAATAAATGGTGTGTTCGGTAGAGATTAAAATTGAAAAACTAGCCGTTATTATTAACTTTTATTAGACGAGTGAGACCCAATAATGACTATATTTTCAATTTTAATTGGATTTTAAGCTAGCCAAACATGCTCAAAATTAAATTGGGTGGTCATGGTGAAACAAAATTAAATTGGGTGACCATGATGACACCAAATATAAAGTTGGATGGCCATTGATAGATTTAACTCTTTTCGAAAATAATATACTCGCTAATAATTTATAATTTATCCTTTAATTAATTGACTTCGAATATATGTGCGCGCGTTTTTTGCAAGTAGTGCTAAATTAAGCTTTAGATTCATGTAATAATATTTTGTTCTTTATTTATCATTAAAAATATTTTTAACGTATTAATATTATTTTATTTTTTTATTAAATCATGCATAATCGATGAAATGATTCAAATTATTTTCAACGCTCCACAAAATGAACACAAAGTTTTGTTGATTTTACATCGATTAATTTTTTTTAAAAAATAAAATTAAAAAGAGTGCAAGTATTTCCTTAATAACCAATTAATTTAGGAATATTGTGAAATGTCTCTATATTTGTCTTTAAAAAATAGCATGATTTTGACGTCACTGTTTAATGTTTCCTAATTGTTACATAGTTGCTTCTGATGTCAAGAATTTGAAATATGATAAAAATGTAGGTCGAAAGTCAATGGTTTGGACCAATAAAATCGTTTATATGACTAATCACCACCAAAAGATAATGTCGATATTTGACTAGGGGGTTAAGTGGTGTGGTGCCATCAAATTAGAGGTCCACGGCGTCCAATTCAAATTTGATTTGTTTTTATCAACTCGATATTTATAAATAGAAACCGTAGTAAATCAATTTTATCACATTTCAAAATTCTCTACAATCTCAGTAATATATCACTATCTTCTTCTTCAATACTATAAGTTCGCAATTATTAAACATTTGTTTCTTTGTTTTCAAATATTTCTTCAAATCCAGTTTTCTTTGTAGGAATTATTTCTGTTAGTTGTGGTAGTAGAGTTTCTACAAAATTTGTTATAAATTACATAGGATTAGCGAACCTCGATAAATGAGGATGTTATCCAATTCATTGGTAGTTCTAATACTTGTCTAGGGTTTTTTTATCAAATATGAAATGATTGTAATATCGAGCCAAAAATCATTGAGCTTGATGAGGATTAAGAAGAAACGATCTCTACAAAGAGAAGAAAAAAGGCAAAAGATCGTGAACCTACTTCTAAATATTGAAAATATTTCACAAAAAAGATTACAATTGACATTACCCTATACAACATGAATTATGATTAGGGGTGTTGGAGTTCGACCACACACCTCATTAAATAGATAGTTCGGACTCTGACACTGTACCAACATTAAGATCGAACGCCAAAAACCTAAGATCAGGTCGGACAATAGCTACAGTAATTTACGGGGACACCATGATTCATAATCACTGCCACACTACCCCCACCTCACCATTAACCATTCCCAGGCAACCATGACGTCAACACTTAATTTCCAACCAATTACAAGTGAATAATTATTACCTAGCATCAGGTCATTATTGTCTGATGACATAGCTGCAGTATAGACATCATGATGACCTGCTTGACCGATCTCGACCACCAATCAAAGAACCAAAATTTTAGGCGGTGGCACACATTGCTAGTCTAGCACTGTAGTTGAAGTGATGTTGGACGGGCAAGTCATATGGTTTTTCAGTCTATAAATAGGGAGAACGATCCCCTCCTAGGGCAAAGCTAAGACACAACAATAAACACTCACCAATAATGTTTCTTCAATACAATTACATTGTATTTTCGTTCAATTTCTGCAATATTCTACAAACATTTCCTTTAAATTGATCTAATCTTGTCACGTTCTCAACTTCAATTTAGTTCAGGCAAAGATAGACCTTCTATGACGGTTATTTAGAAACTAGGTTTATAATTTAAAAACAACACGAACAGTGATGTCTGTAATAGGTGTCGAGTTGTTACTATCCATGATAGCAAGCTTATTGGAAGGACTTGTCCATATTATTTCCTCTAGCTGCCGTTACGGACGCTCGTATTAATTTGTAGGATTGTAAATGTACAATTGGAAGTATTTATTTGCATTTAATATTTGATATCATCATCTCATTGTGACATAGAAAATATTTTGTGTAATTTATATTCTCAACATGTTATAAACAAGGAAAAAAATAATTCACCACAACTGCCTTCTTCAATATCGTCATTAATGATGATGTGCCCAACAAATAATGATGTCTAACCCCGTTACTATATACTAAGCCCTTATTTGACAACTATTAAAAAAAATATTTTTTTTTAAGATAAGTTTTGATATAGTGATATTTTTGGTGAACGTATGATTAAAAAAATAGGAAAAACTATTGAGTTTACGTATAAAATATTTAATTGTGAGAATGTTTGATTAAAAATGAGTTCGAAAAAAGTCGTACACTATCTAATTTGCATTATTTTTGCAGATATGGATAAAATTAGTGCATTCGCCTGTTATGGAGGCAAATGAGAACGAAATAACGAATATAAAAGTTGAAGAATAAAAAATGACACATGAAGTGAAATAATTCCAATTGTTATTATGAAAAGGGTAATTAACACATAACGTCATCACCTTTCATTGTTGTTGTGGAAAACGTTCCAACCTTTCATTTTTTTTTTTTTTTTTTGCATTTTCACCCTTATTTTCACACTTCATTGCACAAAATGTCATTTTCATATATTTTCTTAATTAAAAATTATAAAATGACGAATATAACATTCTCTTTAAATAAAACAAAAAGAAAAAAATAAGTTCAATCATAGTCCCAACTATTTATTAAAAAACACAAATGAGTCTCAAATAAATTATTAAAATGATAATTAATACATAATGTTCCTATCTTTCACCATTATAGCGAAAAACGTCAATATCTTTCATTTTTTTTTTTTTTTGATATTTTCACCCTTAATTACACATTTGATTGTGCAAACCATCATTTTCATCCATTTTTATTCAATTTCTCAATAAAGAAATGAGAAATAATGAAAATACCCTCATATTTAAATAATAATTCGAGTACGGTTCGATTATCCTTAGAACCAAATCGAATTGGACCATGTACAGCCCTATACACCACTATACTGCTGCATGCACCATAAACCAGCTACAGCACCACTACAACCTTGGATGCACCACTGTCGCCGCCGCCAAGGTACCACCTATACCACAATCACCACGTCCACCATCATAACCACCACATATACCTCAATCTACAACCACCGAACAATCCACCACCACCACTTCCACATCAAATCCAACCCCACCATCACCAGCAATTGGTAGTAGGTAGAGAAGAGGGAATAGGTAGAGAGAAGGAATGGAGATGATAGGGTTTTTGTGAAATTTCGTTTTGGGGGGTGAGATGGGTGAAGTGGGTATAGTAATTTAATTTAATATTATTATTATTCAGTATTAAAAAATTGAATTATCACTTGATTTTTGTATAAACAAATCATAATCTTGATTTTTGAAGTTGAAACTTAAAAAACCAGCCTCCCTGTAATTTCCACTTTATATTAAGGTAGTGATTTTTGAAATAACTTAGATGGTGTTTGGTGGTGATTAAAATTAGATTTTATTGGATTGTGATAGAATTTTTTAAAATGTGTGGTTGAAAAGATGTGGGACCCATGAAAGATGTAGTTAATATTGATTATTTGACTTTGACATAAATTAAAATCAGATTTTAATCCGGCCTATGATTCTATTCCCATGTTTTCTTTTTCTTTTTATTTATGTTTGAATTTTTAAATTTTATTTCACGTCCACGAATAATTTTCCCAACAGGAATACAATTTGAAATTAATTCAGAAAGTGGAGATTATTCAACAATTAATTTTTTATAGTATTACTCGACAATTAGAAAAGTTATTTGACAATGTGAATATCTAATCACACCAATAGATCAATGGGGTTTATTTTCCACGTGAACCCTGGAAAAACTTTAATGCGAGAAAAATCTCACCAATATCAAAATGATACGTGTGTAGATGTATCGAATGAGTTGACACAACATGTTTTAAGCAATTTGAAAATAGAACATAGATAGTGTCTTAGCCCCTGTTTGGCCTCCATTAATTTTCATTTTTGCACATTTTCACACTTTTCAACACACTAGCCCGTCAATTGAGTCAATCACGTGTCAGACGCATTAATTTTCAAGACAACCGTTGGTCAATTAAAGGACGAAAACACCATCGCCCTGATTTTTACATTTACACAATAGTAGGGGCGAATTTGTCATTCATGACATTAATGGTTATATTAAAATATAAGAAATTCATTTTAAATTCATTTTCAGTACAAGGCGTTGCATCAAAGAATCAGTGGGTCCCAGCCGGGTTGAACTTTTGACCGAAGAAAATGAAATTTAATGAACAAAA